CACATATCTTGGGGGGTAGAGATAAAGGAAGTTTCCAAAGGAATTTTTATATGTTAAAGTAGACTTACAGATCCTGGAAGTCTAGAGATAAAGGAAGTTTCCAAAGGAATTTTTATATGTTAAAGTAAATTTAGGGGCACCTGGGTGGCTCAGTTGGGCAACTGCCTTCGGCTCAGGTCATGATCCTGGAGTTCCGGGATCGAGCCCTGCATCGGGCTCCCTGCTCAGTGGGGAGTCAGCTTCTCCCTTTGACCTTCCCCCTGTCATGTGTTCTCTCTCTCAAAAAAATAAAATCTTTAAAAAAAAAATTAAAGTAAATTTACAGGATCCTTGAGGGGGGATGGGTTGGGCTAGGATTGTGTTTTGCCCTTAGCAAAGTATTAACATCCAGGCAGTTGGATGTCCCTAGAGGAATGTCGCTATGCCTGTTTCAAGGACTTGTCAATGGACTGTATATAGTAAGGAAATTCAATTATTTCTCTTCTGCCTTTGTTTCCCACATCAACTTCTGTCATTTAATAATATATCCTGAGGATTGCTCCATATTAGTTATGCAGGTCTTTTTCATTCTTTTTACAGCTGCATAGCATTGTTGTCTGGACGTACCAGTTTATTCAGTCTCCGTACTGATGGACATTGTGTCATTTCCAGTGTTTTGTTATGACAAATAATGCCTCATGAATGTTCACCGTGGAAATATATACTGAGTAGATTATTAGAAATGAAGTTTCTGAGTCTAAGGGTAATTGTAGATGTAATTTTGTTAGATGGTGCTAAATTCTACTCCACAGGGATTCTATTAAACGTTTTGCCCCCAATCAGCAATGTTATAATGGGACCATTTCTCCACAGCCTTACTAACAGGGTGCTTTGACGAAGTTTGGCACTTTTGTCACTCTGATCAATGGGAAATTGTTATCTTGGTATAGTTTTATTTTATCATGAATGCAACTGAGCATCTTTTCATATGTATCAAGGCCATTTGCCTTTCCTTTTCAATGAAATCTCCACTGATGTCTTTTGCTTAAAAGTTTTTTTTTTGGTGTTTGTGTTTGTGTTCTGGATTTTTAAGAACTGCAGCAGGAAGATAAGCTACAAGTTATTTGTACTATGTTACACATCTTTGTAATTTGTCCTTTGTCTATTTTTTTCCAAAACACATATATTTTTACTTTTATATAATGTTTGTTAATATTTTCTTTTATTCTGTATTTTGAATCATGATTAGAAAGGTCTTCCCAATCCACAGGTTATAGAAGAATTAATCAATGTGCTCTTTTAGTACTTATGTGGTATCATTATTTATATTTAAATTTCTGATCTATTGGAGTTTATTCTAGTGTGTGATGTGAAGTGTGGCTCTAATTTTATCTTTTCCCAGAAGCTATCCAGTTGTTCTAATACTATTAATTAAAAAGCCTATCTTTCCCCCAGAGATTTGAGATTCCACTTTACTGGCATACCAAATTTTCATACTTACTTGATCCTATTTCTCCGTTTTTATTTTTTATTTTTTTTAAGATTTTATTTATTTGACAGAGAGAGAGACAGCGAGAGAGGGAACACAAGCAGGGAGAGTGGGAGAGGGAGAAGCAGGCTCTCCGCCGAGCAGGGAGCCCGATGCGGGGCTCGATCCAAGGACCCTGGGATCATGACCTGAGCCGAAGGCAGATGCTTAACGACTGAGCCACCCAGGCGCC